CAAACTTGCACCACACATGGCTCTCTTTCCATGTCGCCTGTTGCACAATCTCTCAGCCGCAAACCTTTTGTATCCTTTGGCATCTCAATTGGCAATGCCGGGTTCCCAAAAATCTCCTCGTTCATTACCCATCAAAATACAGGCAGGCCTTCGTTGTCGCGGGCTGCACCGCCTGTTCGGCAGTCTTGGCTGCTGCAGACTCCTCGCGGTCCTCCAAGGGATCAGCAAATCATTCCAAGTTTGGATGGTTGACGGTGTTTGCCCTGCCTCTGCCTCAAGGACCTTCTCGCAAGGCTCTGGCTCTAAGAGCTCTGCACTGGCTCGCGCCGCAACACCGGCAGCTTCTCTTGCTGCGTCGCCAGGGGCAGGTGCCTCACAGGACCAACTGCCAAATGGCGTTAAAGACTTGGCACATCAATGCCAAAACTCTCTTGAATCTCGCCTGGGGCTCTTGAATGCCCTCGCTTCGCGGTTCTGGCTGGGCCCGCATTGTGCTTTCAGCTGCCACATGCTGTGTGACCTCCCTCGCTGCCAGTTCTGCATTTTCGTCCTTTCAAGGGATTAGCAGCAACATCCACACCCAGCTGAGGAGACTTGGCAACTGTTCCGGGGCAATGCGCACACCTCGTCATCGTGGAGCTTTTCGCTTTGCAGCCCTTGCGGCGCAACCTCACAGGCAAACTGAAGTAACTGGCCCCGTCTTAGAAGAACCCTTGTACAACCCCATTCACATCATGAAAACCATAGTGCCCATTTCAGGTTCCTTTTTTTTCCCATTAGGGCATCATTGTATTCTCATAAATATGAATACATACGTATATACATATATATATATATTTATATGCCCCGATATAACCTGTACATAACCCCTTTGAAGGGGACCCCTACCCAGAACATAACCCCTTATGTTACCAATATAACCCTAACCCCTACTGTAACCAATATAACCTCTGATATAACCCCCAAGATAACCCCGAATATAACCATAACCCCTATGATAACCCCTAATATAACCCCCAACATAACCCTAAACCCTAAACCCCTGATATAACCCCAATAATGGACCAGCTTGCGCCTTCAAACCTTCGGGTTGCGTCTCTGTAAGCGTCACCAGCGAAAGCTCTGTGGCATCCTCGCAGGTCTAAGGTTTAGGGGTAGGGGTTTAGGTTGGGTACTGCACCCACCCAGTAACAGTCTATATTAGGGGTCCTATTAAGGGCTATATATAACCATAGTATATTTATTATCCAACTGTTAGTGAGGGGGGGGAGTACCCAAGGTTTAGGGTCTAAGGTTTAGGGGTTTAGGGTCTAGGGGTTAGGGTTAAGGATCCAAGGTTTAGGGGTTTAGGGTTTAGGGTTTTAGGAGGCTTGATGCTTTGCCCATGCCTGGTGGTCTTGCACGCTTTCCGCTTGCGTCCCGCCGACTGCTGAGGCATCCTTTGCTCACATGAACAATAAAGAAATGCAGAGATAGAGAGAAATAGTAATAATATCCATACTACTAATAATATTAATGATACTAATAATAGTAATAACAGTAACCCTAACCCTTAATCCCAAAAGAATATGCTTGTCCATTTTGTTCTCCGACATGTCTGACAACACAATCCCTGGGCCTCAGGATATTGCGACTTGCATGCTGCCACGACGCAGAGTCCCGGTGAGTGTGTGCAGCCAAGACGAGGCCAGCTAGCAATCTTGCCACTGTCTGGACATTTGCCGCGTCTGAATGCCCACTTTCCACATCCTCAGCACACATCTCCCTACCGCTTAGATCCAACTGTCAGGCCCGCACTCCATGCCTTCTTATGCCGTGCGGATGAAGTACTTTAATGACCCAAGCAATTACAGGATTCTGTTGCTTGAGGTGTATTGAGGCACCCTGTACTATAAGAATAGAGGTACCGGTAAGTGCTTCGGCCTCCACATGACATTGTGCTTCAGGCCAAAGACTAATGCACTGCTGGCTATTGCCCCAAGCTTCAAGTTGGCTGTACGCATATAGGCTTTATGTATGCTTGGAGGGTCGGGAGGACTCAGTAAGTAGGTTAAGAGCCCCTATAACCCATATAGCAATCCTACCTATCCCCATTACCAACCCACTTACGAAGTCCTCCTGACCCTCGGAAGTAGGCAGGTGAAGGGATTGTCTCGGGACACTCCGCGAGATGGAAAATCAACTGGAAAAGAAACTGGGAAAGGACATGGAAACTGGGATTGCTTTTTTCAGATTCTATAGGGTTGATAATCCCCTCCCCTAATTAGTATACAACATATAGGAGAATACAGGCGAATCGAAAAAAGAAACTACTGCATCATTAAGGATTAAAAATACATGTGCTACAGTGGGTGGATTTGCTACTAGGGGTGGATCTTCCACTCTCCGGGGCAGGATTAGCTCGCGACCCGGCCTCATGTTCTTGGATGCTTTCGATTATGGACTCATCCGGCACCACCTCGTCAAGGAATGCCCAGGATGCGAACGTCATATTGCATATCTGAAATGCTGCGCATACTACACCTAGCTGTCAAAAAGCCGTTGCTTGCGCCATTAGTGTGACATTATAGATCTGACACAACTAAGTATACCATACCCGGCAACACAACCTCTTGCTACTTACATAGGCCCTTACAGTACACCCTGTGCTGAGTGGGTCCCGAAGCCCATGCCCTAAAACTTGGAACAAGCCTTCTTGGCCGCCAGGTCTGTGTCCTCAATGCTCTTTGCATTTTCCTGAGCAGGCCACGCTAATAGCTTCAAAATGTTGATTCCTCTTTGGCACCCCCGCTCCGAGACAAGTGCCCTAATGTATGACAACCCTTGTAGCAGCAGTTCGGTGGACCAACGCATGCCGAAAGCAGGCCATGCCCAACGGCATGATGTCAGGTTGCAGATGAATCTTAGGCTTCCGGCTACAACCATGACTGGAGGCTGGGGGTCTGAACTTTGTCCACAAGTTAGGGGCTTCCCCTAAAAATTAACAGAATTTTTTGGAAGTACCAACAACAAGGCCTATAGTATATTGGGGTGAGTACGGGCTTCCCCAAAATATAGAAACCACCACTTCTCAAGATGAACTCATCTCTTGCAGCCCCGAAGCAGACTCTCTACGGGAATCCGGTAACAGGACCAAGCCCGCGAGAACTCTAGCCACGGTTTCCACGTTCACGTCATCAGTGTGGTCGCTGTCCACGTCCTCTGCCAAAGCCAGAGGATCCTTCCTATGAGAAGAAACGCGGTTTGTTCACCTTACCCTGCGGATTCTATACCGCAGACCTCATATGTCGTCAGCGTGCTTGGGAAGCCTGATTGTCAAGCATAACTTCTAGAAACTGGAGAGCATGGGCAGCATGGTCCCCGTTTTCTTTCTACTCCCTAAGAAAAGACGGATACATCGCAAAAGTGCGTAAGGTGCTTCCCCATATCCGCCAAATCCTCTGCTTCAGCTGAGCTATAGTCTAAACTCCTTAAAAGGAGGTTATATAGGGCATTATATAGGGGACTACTATAGGGGTTATTAAGGGGGATACTAGGAGTTCTAGACAATGGCTCAGCTGATAATTCCCATCAGCCCCAGACGCCGGAGACTATGCCTTATAACCTGACCCTCACTCTCTCAGCCTCATCCTAAACCCTTTAAACGATATGTTCCATTCGCTTTTCCATTTCCTTTGGCAATTGATTCTTCAATATTGGCCGCTAATATCCCTAAACTCCTAAATCCTAGACCCTGTAGTTTCCATTTTCCCTATATAACCCTATATCATACCCCCTGTATTCCCTTATGCTCTCCTGACACCCAGTAAGATAAAGTACTTCACATACATCCAAACCCTAAACCCTAAGCCCTATACCTTAGGAGGACCCCCCACCCTGTAATGGTGATATAAGAGGACCCTAATATAATCCTTATTATCCCTTATAGTCACTATTACAGGGTGGGGGGGTCCACCTAACCTATACCCTACACCCTAAGCCCCTAAGCCCCTAAGCCCTAAACTAGGAAAGAAGCTCTACAGCTTGCCGGCCTCGTGTTCCTGGATGCTGTCGCTGGCCGCCTCCCTCGCAGACGACACAGGTCGGACCTGGTGGCAAGAATCTTACAATTAAAGGCAATATGGGAGTTATATGGGGATATAGGGGTTAAAAAGGACTATCTGGGAACTTTATAAGGGTTGTATCGGATATTGCCCCAATCATGGAGAATCAGATGGAAAATGAAATGGGAAATGAAATGGAGATTCAAATGGAAGCTGGGGTTGCCTTCGGGATGTACCACTAGGAAGCTCGCCGCAGAAGAAAATTTCTTGCCGAGTGCAATTAATTTACATGGGTTCTGGGGCATACTACGAAGTACTGACTTCAGGATTGTCCGTGAAGTAAACCCTAAACCTTAGTTCTACAACATAGACGGGGGGATCAGGTCTCAGGACTGCAGCTGCTAAGGTCTGAATGCTTGGGAAAGCAACCTCTCAAACTCAAGTGCAGACTGGCGTTAACTGAGGATACCAGAAACCATATGAGCCATAGTCTTATTAAGCTCCTAATATCCCCCTTAACAGCCCTTAATATAATCCCCTATATAAACCCATATATTGAGCTCCTAATATCCCCCTTAATAGCCCTCTCTACTATAATTCCCTATATAAACACCTTTAAGGAGTATTGTCATCCTTGCCTCCCCGAGCATGGAAGCAACATCCGACTCTGCTGCCGTGACAAGGCCGGCCAGAAGGCACGCCACGGTATCGACGTTGGCGTCGTCCGTGTGTTCGCTGTCCACGGCCTGACAAAAAGATGTTGAGGATGGTTGATGTGATTGCTTACAGGCTTTTGTGAGCACGGTCATGGGTAGAGCAATCATGGCAGGAATTGTACCCAGAAGCTTCGCTGGGCATCGGCCTCCTAGAAAGGACAAAGATGACATGAATGTGCAGGGGCCAAGAAGCTGGCGAACGCGAAAGAGAGCCCTCTAAATAAACCTGAATCCCATACAGTGGCAAGGACGCAGCACCTACATCAGCCAATCCCTTGAACTAGCGTGCTGCAAGCTGAGCTGGAAGAACTGCCAGGAGCTACGGGAAGTCTCGGGTCATGAATGCTAGTTCCACAGTTGAAGAATCGCGCGGAATCCGTATAATTCCTGCGTGGCTATCTTTCTAGGAAGTTGACTCTGGAGAACCCCGCCTCATGCTCTTGGATGCTATCACTCTTTGGTGATGTCTCCTTGGCCGAGATGCTCTCTGCAATAGACTCTTTGGCGACTACGCATCTTGGGTCATGTATGACTTGAAAAGCGTAAAATTTCTCTACCCAAATATTGACTACAGAAACACCCAAGCTCCTCCCTCCTATGATGAACTGCCCAGCTAGCATCCTTCCCTTCGTGGAGGGAATCCTCCTCTTCGGCAGCTCCCAGAAGCCCAGCTAAGACATGGGCAACCATCTCCATGTTGGCCATGTCGCTGTGCTGACTATCCACGTCCTGCAGCTTTCTGCCCCAGGTGGCGCGAGCAGTCAAGACCCTTTTCCTGGTGGACAGCGGCCTTAAGCCTAGGGTATGCTGAGGGACCCTAGTTGTAGGGAGCTCATCTAGCAGCTGTGGAACTCCCACTTGAAAAAGGGCACTTCAGGCATCACCTTATGAAGTCACTTCGACCTAATGTTAACGTGCTGGGGCAATGAATCCCTAACTATCCGTGTACAACCCCTATACATTAGGAGGACCCCCGCCCTGTAATAGTGGCATAATAGGAATATAGTAGGACCCTAATATAGTCCTCATTATCCCTTATAGTCACTATTACAGGGTGGGGGGTCCACCTAACCTATACACACTTCTATGTTGATACTTATGTTCACCTCCGACTCCCTCTTCAGTGCAAGAAGAAATCAAGGAAAAGTCCAACAGTTCTTTCAAGCTGGGTCTGAATGGAATGCGTATAGGTACTTCTCAAATTGTAGTACCCTCTTGGTTATAGATTATTTTAGGGCACCTAATATTTGGAGGTACCAAAATGGGACCCTAATTCCGAGAACTGCCCATATTAGTTTTTCCCAACATAATCCGCACACAACCTTCAGGGGGGCCTCCCTCCTCACCAAACTTTTTCGGGCTGGCAGACATTTCTTACTTCACTCGGGGTCACTCGGCTTCGTGTCGCAAAGATGAAAACAAGTTTTATCCAGTAGAGCTTACGACCCCCGGACACTTGACATGGTAGTTTCCTGAAATATGGGGACCCCAATATAGACCCCAATATACTAAAATCCTTACCAATTATGGGACCCCCCAATAAGGCTAACTTTTGGAAACCCTAAACCCCAAATCCCAAGCCCCAAACCCTGCATCATCCCTACAGACCCTTTCAAAGGTTCGAACCAGTAAGTTTAATGGGGGAATCTATTATATAGGGATGATATAGGGTTTAGGGTTTAGGGTTTAGAGATGATATCGGGGTTCTATTCCCTCATTCTCTACTTAGAACCAGTAAGTAAAGCCGCCCTTCTGCGCACAGCGTGTCCTCATGCTCTTGGATGACAGCCTCCTGAAGATCGTCAGCCTCTTCCACCTTGAAGGACCCATACGGTTTAATCACAGAACCCTGGATACTGCCAGAATTCTGCTGGAAATATACAAGTTTTCTGCTGCACCCAACACAATTCTGGCAGAAGGAAAGATGTCAAATATGATCACGAGAGAGAAGCCGGAAATTGGTAGATGGGGGCACCCGAGGCTCTTCGCCAAACAGCTGTGCTTCTAGACGCACGACGCTTTGCCACAAGTTGCTGAGCTGTGACCAATTGGCTTTGCAGGCACGCGAGGTGTGACTCAGGGTCTTGGTAATCCAAAACTGTTTTTGGGCTAAGGGTTTTGGGGTGTCAGTGTAAGGATGTGTGCCAGCCTTGCGAAAACTTGCTTAACTTTTGTAGGCCCACATAAGCAAAAGTGTATGCTCCTAGTATCCCCCTTACAAGCCTTCAGCCGCCATGCTCATGACTACAAAATAAGGGATTCTAATACCACTCCCCCCAAAGGTACCCCCCCAAAGTTTCAGGAGCTAGTAAGGACTATATAGGGCTCAATGCGGCCTAATAGGGCTCTAAATCTGGGGAGGGTAATTGTTGGGGGCTGTACTATTGTAACCCTTAACCAAACCTCTAGCACGGGCTGCTTTACCTGACTCCCCTATAGACCCCTCAAACTTCCGAAGTACTCTCTTGTTTGTCAATTGAATTCCTCCCGGCTTAGCCATGGCCTCTGTGGGAGGCTCAGCCGGAGTTGCCAGCTGCGTCGCCAAGGCGTGGGCAACAGCCAGGACGTTCCCTTCCAGTTCCTCCATATGAGTTACAGTCGGTATTGCTTGAATGGCATGAGAAGCATATATATATATATATACACATGTATGTGGGATGTCTATGTATATGTACAGATACAAGGATCATGTGATTTCATGGGGGTGGATGGACAAAACGGCCACAAGCGGCTCTCATGAGGCTTTGTTCCCCAAAAAAGGTGCCTTGTAGGCCACCTGAAGCCGCTGGGATGTGACTATGGGATGGACCATGAGGCCTTCTAGGAGCACCCTATCAGCCACAGTCTAAATTCCTTAAAGGGGGTTACATAGGGGATTATATAGGAATCCATTAGAAGGTTAATAAGGGGATGCTAGGAGTTTAGGCTATACCTTCTATCAAGGATTGCGCGTGGGTGGATTTGAGAATGCCCGCGG